ACGCCAGGCCACACACAGATAGTGACTCGCCAGAAGCTCCGTTGGGAGCTTGGTTGGGAGGTTCTTATGCATCCACCTTATAGTCCGGACCTGGCACCAAATGATTACCACCTGTTCCTGTCTATGGCGAATGATTTTGCTGGTGAAAAATTCGCCTCAAGAGAAGCTTGTGAAAATCGACTGTCCCAGTTTTTTGCCAATAGGGACAAGGGTTTCTATAAGAGAGGCATAACGAAATTACTTTCAAAATGGCAACAAGTTATCGAACAAAACGGTGCATATTTGACCTAAATCGGATCATTCTAACTATGCAAAATAAAGCCTTCAATTTCATGCAAAAATAATGGATTTCTTTTTACTACACCTTATATTATATATTATTTCAATAATTCAAGTATTAAATTTAATAATATCGCTATTGAATCAAGAATATATACTCCAATTACGCGTGCTGTTGAAAATTTTATTGATTTAACAAAAATAGAGAGAACCGTCCGTCTAACTATGATGTCAGAAAGATAATAGACGTTCGGCGGCACATCGAGCGACGCTGACACGGCAGAGATAAAAGACTAACGTTAGTAGACGCGTTATGGTCTTTTAGACCAACTGCAAAAACGTATCAAATTTCATATAGAAATAAGCGCGTCTACGCCGTATACTTTTGCATGCTATACAAGAAAACATCAAAGAAAATTTACGTAAAAGCGAAAATACAATAATGTCAATAGATTAGATGATATAAGTAGAAAACGAAAAAGTACGGGGAAAATGACCGATACGCGTCCACTCCCTGGTTAAGAAGAGAGAGAAAATTATGTTAAAACAGAAAAATAAATTTTCATTATAAAGAAAATTTTCATAATAAAAATTGAACAGGGAATGGTAATGCCATTGAGTATTAACAATATTTTTCTAGATTATATACTAATATATTATAATATATTATTTAATAATATATTATAATTAATTAAATATGTTATACTAATATAATATATAATAATATATTCTCGTATAAAAGACATTTTATACAAAATACAAACACAGAAAGTAATGGAATACTTGCTAGTAAATGTTAAAACGTGACAACAATCGAAAGATTGTTATCAATGTTGTACGACAGATATCAACATAATGCATATTAGTGAATCAGTGGTACTATGATTACTTGTGGACTCTTAAGTAAACGTTATTGATAAATTAGTAAACAATAAATTGAAAACACAAAGTATGAAGCAATTCATAATAATTATGAGAAAATTTATGCTTATCTTTATCGAAAATTTTAAAAATCAGAATATTCTATACAAAGCCAAAGAATGCAATAGAATAATTGGATATTGTTGATAAATGGACCGATCTCGGCTTGGTAACAAGCTGGAAATTTCTCGAAACTGAGCATCGGCTATCGTCAGGCGCCTGTAATGAGTCTACTCACGAGTTCACGCAGCTAGGCAACCAAACATTGCAAACTTGTTTTTTGTTCTACGCAAGCGAGAATCAGTCTGAGTTTTTTCCTCGAAGTGAAGTGTTGTGCGATTGATTGCAGCCTTACGGCTCGTACGCTAGAGTTTCTCGGAAATGAGAAGCATTTTACTTCTTTTCAGACCCGTCGACGAGCTCCTGAGCGGTCATCACCGCCAACCTTCGTCGACGCTCTCCTGTTTCCTGCGCGGCTGCCCGCCGCCTTCCCGTCGACGAGCTTCTGGTTCCTGCATGGTCATCGCCGCCAACCTTCATCGACGCGCTCTTGTTTCCTGTGCGACTGCCCGCCGCCTCCCCGTCGACGAGCTCCTGGTTCCTGCGCGATCATCGCCGCCAACCTTCATCGACGCGCTCTTGTTTCCTGTGCGACTGCCCGCCGCCTCCCCGTCGACGAGCTCCTGGTTCCTGCGCGATCATCGCCGCCAACCTTCGTCGACGCGCTCCTGTTTCCTGCGCTGCTGCTCATCGCCTTCCCGTCGACGAGCTTCTAGTTCCTGCATTGTCATCGCCGCCAACCTTCGTCGACGCGCTCTTGTTTCCTGTGCGACTGCCCGCCGCCTCCCCGTCGACGAGCTCCTGGTTCCTGCGCGATCATCGCCGCCAACCTTCGTCGACGCGCTCTTGTTTCCTGTGCGACTGCCCGCCGCCTCCCCGTCGACGAGCTCCTAGTTCCTGCGCGATTATCGCCGCCAACCTTCGTCGACGTGCTCCTGTTTCCTGCGCTGCTGCCCACCGCCTTCCCGTCGACGAGCTCCTGGTTCCGGCGCGGCTGCTCGCCGCCTCCCCGTCGACGAGCTCCTGCGCGACTTCCGTCGCCAACCTTTGTTGACGCGCTCCTGTTTTCCTGCGCGGCTGTCCGCCGCTTCCTTCGTCAACGAGTTTCTGCTTTCCTGCGCGGCTGCCTGCCGCCTTCTTCATTAAAAAATTCCTGATTTCCTGTGTGATTGCCTGCCGCCTCCTTCGTCGACGCTTTCCTGCCTTCATGCAGGACTTATTCACCGCCACCTTGTCAACCAGTTCCTTATTTTCTGTTTGGCCTTCTGAGCATTCACCGATCTTCTTCTTCGCGTATCGCGAGTGTGTTCACCCGGGATTCTTGTTTTTTAAATACAGTTACGTTCCTTGAGCATTCGAATTTCATCTTGTTTCATTCGTGACATATCGCGCGTACCAGTTTAAATCGGTTACGTTTTTATTTGTGACGTGACAATAAACAGATATCATGAGTTTGTAATAAGAATTATAATAAGATATCTCACGATATTCTATTGGAATATCCCGGATTTTATTAAGATATACTAGAATGTCTTAAATATTTGTGGAATATCGCATTTGGAAAAATGAAATAATCTTGAATATCCTCAAGATAAAGTGTAGTATATAAAATGTTGTAAATTTTCAATAGGATATCTTATAATATCTTATTAAAATATTCCAGACGCTATTTACTGGGACATCCGTAAGCTTATATTTAGAAATCTATAACATTGTAACGCTCTTGCGTTCGTTACGAGATATTCCTCGGTTCGGTCCAGGTTCGTGGTAGGTTTAATAATTTGTGAAACAGCGATGTAGGTGGTAATAAATAAGATCTATTCTAAACTCTATTTACAATCTTATATACAGTCGTCTTCGACGCCGTTGGTGTTTGGTCGTTTTTGCTCAGACGCTGTATCTCAGTTCTCTGAATCTGCATTACATTTTTACAGCACACTTTATCCTGAGGATATTCTAAATATAATAGATTATGTTGTAACGATCCGTCAAATTTAACAACCGGTAAAAGTAATGTAAACACCGCCGTATCGCTACAAACAAAAAGTATAAACAAAGCGTCAAACAACCGCGAACAAACAAAGTGAATCGTACAAGATTCGCGTATAAAAGCCGTCGCGAAAACCTAGACGCAGTTTTTTTTTATTGCTGTATCTCAGAGTTCGTGTATATGTTAGATGACAGTTCGCAATAGCGAAGGACCGTAAGCGATCCGCGAGACGCGGTCGGTGATTTGTTGCGTCGTTTTCCTCGCATGTTTGGCGAGATCTTTACATTGTGTAATTTAAATATCGGTTCCGGTGAGGTTTTAAATCGCTGTGGTGCAATTGTAGACAATCCTTAATGTTGTCGGCGCGGTTTGACTCGCGAGAGTTGCTAGCCGGGAGTCGTTCAAGACGCGAAGTCGCGGTAGCGTATTCGTGTATTCTACGATAGAGTGGTTTCTGTTGCGTTGTTGCGAACAAGAAATCGGTAAACCGAATTGAGTTCGCTCGGATGCGGCTCAACGACGGCGGAATCTCGATCGCTCTGCGATGCCGAGATTTAATAAGCGGAGTTGAGATCGCGCGGATGCGACTCAACGACGGCGGAATCTCGATCGAGTATGCTCTGATGCCGAGATTTAATAAACGGAGTTGAGATCCCATGCAGGCGTCTCCACGACGGATCGGTGCTAGTCGGTTCTTTACGGACTGGGGATTGTCCAGGATGCGTTGTCGACATCGCATATCCACTCGGTCAACAGAACGATCAGGATGATGTCGACGTCGCATATCCACTCAGTCGACGGATCGGTCAAGATGGTGTCGACAGCGCGTATCCACTCAGTCGTCGAAACGGTTAGGATGGTGTCGACGTCGCGTATCCACTCAGTCGATGGAAATGGTTAGGAAGCGGTATCGAGATAGTCTGCAGATCTACATCGGATAACATGTTTTAGAGGTTCCTTTGCTGTCGGAGTCTAGCTCTTGTCAGCTCGGCGCCTCGTTAAACTGCGTCTAGGTTTTCGCGAAGGCTCTTATATGCGAATCTTGTACGATTCACTTTGTTTGTTCGCGGTTGTTTGACGCTTTGTTTATACTTTTTGTTTGTAGCGATACGGCGGTGTTTACATTACTTTTACCGGTTGTTAAATTTGACGGATCGTTACAACATAATCTATTTAGAATATCCTCAGGATAAAGTGTGCTGTGTAAATGTAATGCAGATTCAGAGAACTGAGATATCCCATTACATCCGTATTGCCCCTCTATTCTAATTGCCCCATCAGATTATCACTTGTTCCAGTTGTTACAAAATAATATGAGCGGTAAGAAAATAGAATTAAAATAATTTTTTTATTCTTTTAACATCAGTCTTTTTCCGTATGAAATCAAATAATAACTAAATATATAACTCAGATATCATTCGAGCATATGATATCATTCGAGTATATTGAAATTATATTTCAGTGTTTGTTAGTTATTTAGCCATCTTAGCTAATTTTTCATATCTAAATTTTTTTAATGCACAATTTTGTTTTTATATAGGTTTATACTGAATTATGAGTCTGCTATAGATATGCTATAATTATAGTTACATTATCATAGCTATAATTATAGTTATAATACATATCAACGAGTTTAAATAAGTAGATTTATTGACTTTTTATTAACTATGTATTTTTAATATAACATTTCCTGTATAAGAGAGTTAAGTTTATGATGAAACAACGCATGTATTGCAAAAATGATACTTACCAAAACGATTTCGCCAGACACATTCTTTTTTTGTCTTGGGACAAACAATCTGTACGTTCCTTCGCAGATATAGTAGACAATTTTTAAAATAAGAATCAAAAGTTCCAATATGATGAAGAGAATTCTTTTTATATTTGAAAAGTTTCCGGTCTCACTCGTAATTATCTAAAAATTTCCATATTTTTCATAAGAATACACTATAACATCGATTTATTAATATTTCGTACATAATCTACGTCATCGACTATTTAATTTGTTACCAAAGTAACAAAAATAACTTTGTTACAAAAATAACTTTATCCTAAATTCAATAAAATTTGATGCCAAAAATGAATTCCTGAAACGGACTGTTATTTTCCGTCAATATAAACCGGACTCATGGGTCTATTACATGGCGCCATTAATGTACTTAGAATATTCTGAAAAAATTCACGGGAGTTCATTGTATGCGTTAATTAAATGCCCAAACCATTGAATTAGATAACAATTTATTTTGAATATTTGTCTTTTATTATTTTTTTAGGAGAAATCGTTTGTCGTATAATATATTTAAAAAATTTATAATTTTCCGAAATTGGATTTATAAAAAAAATACTTCAGAAGCACTTTAGAGTATACCCGCACAATATTATTAACACCTTAAAAACGTTTAAAAACATCTTAACTCTTTCAGTTCTACTGGGAACGTTAATTCCCAAGAATTTATTTAGAAGTCGATAACTCCGTGAAAAATTGCTTGCTTGTTTCGCCATATGCAAGAGTAATTCTTCTACTTTGCGAACATAATTCATACTCCTATATGTTCCGTCGTATAGGCAAATCAGAAACACATAATATACAGGGTGGGGCGCCAAAATCCGGACAAAATTCAATTTGAAATTCTCGCCGTTCTATACCACTGGTAGATGTCGCGATTAGCTTTCAAATAGCTTGACGCATGTAAACCATCATAACCTCGAAACAGTTGCAATGTTGAAACCAAGCGCGGAGTATAACCGAAGAGCCGCAATTATCGAAAATGTTCGCGCTGGGCGCTCGGCGACAGAAATCATTCGGTTTTTCGAGTACTCGAGATCGACTGTGTATGATGTCATCGCAAAGTACAAGGAGTCGGAAAAGTCCAACGAAGGTTTTGCAACACCGGCGAGGAAAACCCACTCGAAGGAGCGCGTTGTCAGGACGCCCGACATCATTCAACGGGCTCAGGAGCTGATTTTTGAGGATCCAGGTCAGTCGATCCGAAAATTGTCGTCGGTTGTTGGTGTGAGCGAAAAAACTATGCGTCGAATCGTCGAGGAGGACCTTCGCTACAAGTCTTACACAATTAAAGTGAGAGAGATGCTTTCCGAAACCGCCAGGACAAAGCGAGTTGAACGCTGCAACCTGCTTTTGTGTTCCTTAACAGCCCAGATTTGAATCTTTTGGGCTTCTATGTATGGAGCGTAGTTGAAAGGGTCACGAACAAGACATCCAAACGTCGCATCATTGAGAGCCGCTATTGAAGCGGCATTCACCGATATGGACCGTGACACATTAAAGTGCGTCTGCGCACGCTTCAGACCGAGAATGGAGGCGGTCATTCAAGCAAGCGGGGAATATATTGAGTAAATATGTTCTTTATGGCTTTACAAACAATGTGGTTCAAAAAATTTTGTAAACCTTTTCGTTTTTGCAATAAAAAATATGTTTGGAAAAAATGTATAATTTGTCCGGATTTTGGCACCGCACCTTGTACACTCCATGTTTGAGGTTTATCCACTATAACATCATGTCACAAGAAAAACTAAAAAATGTATTCAGCACGTGATACTATCACGGTTTCGAACTTTTTTAGCGTGAGTCCCGTCGCCTCTTACGGTACTGAATGCGTGATACTGTCACGGTTTTGGGATGAGAACCCACAAATTTTTTTTTAAAAAACATTATTTATATTTTTTATATAATATTCTATCAAAAAGACTTCGTCCAGAACAATAAAAATCCAAAAACGACCATTTTAATCATGGTGAGGGGTGATTTTTGTTTCCAGAGATAGATTCAAGTAGATAGAAAGTTGTAACGATTATTTTTAGCACCTATAACACCAATCTATTTCAGTACAATAAAAAATTTGATCGATGAATATTTTCCAAAAAGTCGAGTTTGAAAGGGTTAAACAACTGTCGGAAAGATATCTTTATAGCATCTGTAAAACAACTTATGTTCTAATTTAAGATATATTAAATACAATTTGTTTAAGATTACTTTAAGACTAGATTTGAGGCTTTCACGGCCATTAATACAATTTATAGGTATAGCTTCTGGAATGGAGCCGTGTCTTGAATCAGCGATGTGCCAACGTTTCGCAAACGTTGCAATTTGCATCATCAGGGCTGAGAACTCTGATACTGAGCTCCCTTGGATAAAGGTTGTCCTTATATGCCTCCCTACCCCTTGTGTAGATGGTGCTGGGGGTAGGGGACGTAGTTTGAATCCAGCCAATCAGCTCATTTTAATTGATCAGCTGGTCAATTAAAAAATTTTCAATTCCAAGGAGAGTTCTTCGAACAAACCTCTGGAGCGGCAATGGAATCGCCTATATCTCCTATCATTGCAAACATCTTTATGGAACATTTTGAAAATGAAGTTCTGAAGAACGCACCACTGAAACCATCCACATAGTTTCAGTATGTTGACGATATCTTTGTGATTTGAAATCATGGTAAAGAAACTCTTTCTCAGTTTCTCGGTTTTCTCAATTCACAGCATCCCAGTATTCAGTTCACAATAGAAGTGGAACAAAATAATCAAATTCCCTTTCTGGATGTGCTAGTCCAAAGGAACCAAGATGGTATCTTAGGTTACCAGGTCTACCGGAAACCAACACATACGGACCGCTATCTGCATGCAACCTCTCATCATCATCCCTTGCAAAAGAATTCTGTCATAAGTTCATTGGTTTACAGAGCACTCACAATTTCAGAATCATCTTCTCTGTATGGAGAATTAGAACACCTCAGTACAGCCTTAACCAAAAATGGATACAACAGCAAAAACATCTCGCAAACAATACAAAACCTGAAGAACAGAATGCGCAGTCCTAAAAACGCTGATACACTAGATAAAGAGAGAGATAAAAAAAAGACGGCTGTCCTTCCATTTCTCCAGGGCATAACAGAACCTATCAGCAGGATTCTGGGAAACACGATATCAAAATAATCTTCAAATCCCATAGAAAGATTTCCCATTTACTCCCAAATCCGAAGAATCATAAATCATGCCTGGAGACTTTAGGTGTATATAAGATCCCTTGCTCTTGTGGTAAAGTTTATATAGGGGAAACCGGGAGGAAAATCAGTACGCGAATCAAAGAACACCAGCGATATACTAAATACGGCCACTTTGCTCAATTAGCCCTAGCTGAACACTGGATGGAGACTGGACACTCCGTACAATATGACAAGGCCACCAGACTGGCTCCATCACAGAGCTATTTTGCAAGAAAACATCGCGAAGGTCTAGAAATTTTAAAACATCCCAACAATCTCAACCGAGACAAAGGTATGCAAGTAAACTCTATTTGCCACACACACTGTCCTCCCGGTTTTTTAATTGACCAGCTAATCAATTAAAATGCGCTGATTGGCTGGATTCAAGCTACGTCCCCTACCCCCAGCGCCATCTACACAAGGGGTAGGGAGGCATATAAGGACAACCTTTACCCAAGGGAGCTCAGTATCAGAGTTCTCAGCCCTAATGATGCAAACTGCAACGTTTGCGAAACGTCGGCACATCGCTGATTCAAGACACGGCTCCATTCCGGAAGCTATACCTATAAATTACTTTATATATACAATGTCCCAACTCAATTTCACAATCTGTCGTGGAAGCGTAGAGCGGATTGAAATAAACACAAAAGTCCTATACCATTTTGCGATATTCACAATAACTGCTAAGATATTAAAGAAGATTGATAAATGATGCTCGATATGGTAGACGAATTATCCTGACGAAAATAAGAAGTTTCATAAACGTTTGTTTAGCGTTTACGTAAAGCATTTGCAGAACTTCGTTGAGAGTTTAAAAATTGTCAGTACAAAGTTCGTAGAGCGGAAATTGCAACACTATAGCGTTTGAAAGACGTCCTTAACGAAAATAAAAAGTTTCATGAACATTTGTTTAGCGTTTACGTAAGAGAATTTATAGAACTTCGTTGAGAGTTTAGAAAATGTCAGTACAGAGTAGAGCGAAAATAGTAACACGACAGCGTTTGAAAGGTGTTTGGGTACAGCATTTTTGAGACTTTGCAGGCGTTTGCATGGCGTTTGCATGGCATTTACTTTTGCTATACAGCACCGACATATTTCAGAAAGATTTCAAAAAGTTTTCAGTAAAATATAAAACATTTAAAAGAAATATTCTAGACATATCTTTTAAAGAAATATTTTAGAGATATCTCTCAGGTACAAATGTCCGATATAATGTACTATCTAATACAGTAGCGCTCAAAAGTCTTTTGACAGTCAGTTTTCCTGATTTAATTTTCCAACAGTGCTATTATCGGTTCAGTTATTCGTTGATCTTTGTATAATACGGACGTACTTTTCGTTATAACTCGGATTCATCTTCAGATTTAAGTAAGAAATACTTTATTTACAAATAATATTTGTGATTGATAGATCAAAAGTCTTTTTACACATTTATTTACTGCAAGTAATTACTTCTTAAACATATACGTGTCTATTTTATACTTGTTTTAGATAGTATAAGTTAGTTATGGCCAAAAGGCAACGAAAAGAATATTCTATTGACTTTAAGGAGGCTGTAATACATGCTTTGAAAGAGGGACGCTGTCAATCAGAAGTTGCCCGTTGTTTTGGTATATCTCGGCAGTTAGTGAGTGTCTGGAATCATCGACAACAAGTTCAAGGTCATGTAAATAATAAGCCTCGTCAAGGACGGCCTCGGAAAACATCTGTAAGAGTCGACAGAATTATCAAAATGATATCAGTCGCTGATTCGCGCAAATCTGCGCAGTACATTACTCGTGAATTACAACAAGATCATGGAATCAATATTCATGTTTCAACTGTAAAACGTCGACTTAAGGACCACGGTTTACTAGGTCGCCGTCCTAGCAAGAAACCTTTCATCAGTGTGCGAAATAGGAAGGCTAGGATTGAGTT